ATTACTGTGGGCTTGTTATGTATGCTTTTAGTGTGACTACTATTCATAATATTATAATTGAGCATTCTCTTGCATCGAGGTGTATTTTTCCGTCTCTAATACAACATATTCGGCCTTATATTGCCGAAACTTGTAGAATTGTGATAATTCATATATATTTTAATAACATTTTATACATTTAGCGATCATTTTATGGAATTTAAATGTGAATCAGTGTTATTAATTTGTTGCTTTATAGACGGAAAATAGACCATAAGTTGTTACATCATCTCGTTGAGCAGTAAGAGTTTGCCTGTTAGAACCGTATTAATATACAGCAACAGCGGTTTTGGTTGCGTTCTGTAAGGACCAGAAAAGTGTAAGAACATTAAAAGTACATAGGTCGAAACTTTCTGCTTTACAAAAGTTGGTCTGTCATACAGCATGTGATACAGGGTGTGCTGGCATTTTATCTAATCTGTATAGTGAAGAAACTTCAGAGACTTTTCCTTGCGTTTGAAATTCGTAAGAAGCTTTATATACAGGGTGTCTCAGTAGGAAAGTTAAGTATTCTTGGAGTTCATAGAATCGGCAATTCTAAGGAACAAACTAATACGTACGTGTGTCCTATTCTGAACGGTTTCCGAGATAGAGCTATTTCACTGTACTGTTCCAAAACTGTTGATAAGAAAGAGATATTACGTACTGTTTCTAATGCCGGCATTTATTGTTCAAGTGACAAAGTTGGTATAATACATTTCCAAAAATTCCACCAGCAACATCAGTGCACTTTGCATCTCATGTGAGGACATGGCGTGTTGCTCGTCTGTATAGAGTACAGCAGGCGTGTCAAACTCAACTTGTACAGAGCGCCACCTCAGCCATATAAATAATAGTCCAGGGCCGCATTTCATAATAGAAATATACATTACATTTTGATGCAAGGAAATTTAATTCTATTTATTATTTAGGAATAATTTCAACATAATTACCTAAAGTCACATATCTTACAGTTTCAAAAAGCAAGAGAATGCCATTTCTGAAAAAGTGTCAAACAGCTTTTTAATATGTAAAAAGGGAGATTACACAAGAAATTATGTTAGAAATAGCAAAACATTAATTTCCTGCAGCCTGCAAATTTATGTCTGCGTGAGACTTCTTGTCTTCTGGTCTGTTGGAAAATTGTCTTTACAAAAAATATTTGTACTAAAATTTTAATATTGGTTTTAATATCAATTAGCTCTAAAAGTTGAGGGGCCGCACTTTGTGGCTATGGGGGCCGCATGCGGCCCGAGGGCCATATGTTTGACACGGCTGGTGTAGAGTGTACTTATCTCGGAAACCGCTCGGAATATGTCACATGATGTTCCACTTTTTTGCTTAAAATGACCGATACTGTGACCCCCCCCCCAAATATTTACGTATCTTCGTGGGACATCTTGTTTATAACATTCGTTGAATTAGATATGATTCTATCACCAAAAACACAGGATTAAATGTTGTCATAATCGCTGTTTTGTGATATTGCTATTGTGTAGACCTTACAGCAAATGCGGCTGTTAATAACTCTGCTTCTCAAGGAGAATGCATTTGTTACACTTTAAGAGGGAATTACAGTTTTCTGTTTTCAGATTTCATCGTTCAATTTGTAATATACAGACAGTTTTAATGATTCAGTGAATATGTGATTACTCGTTGCGTTACGCAGTAATGAAGAATGTCAAACAGTTCGGTGATGTGCTGACGAGTTGCCTGTGGAGTGTTCTGTGGTACTAAACCAAAGTAAGCCTACCGCCAACACCCTGGACATTTTCTTTTTTCGGTTTCTTTACGAATTGCGTTTGCGATGTTCAATTTCGATATTTTATGGTATTTGGTAGGGCGTACCAAATTGCGATCTCTGAAAAAAAGGAGTTTATAAACCATGTATTTAACAGCAGGGAATGGTACCCCTCTGTTACTGATTGATGCGCTCAAGTCTACTGCGCAAACCTAACCTAACCGAACCTAGCCCAACCTAGCCCAACCTAACCTAACCTAGCCTACCCTAGCCTAGCCTCACTTCGCCTGGCCCCGTCTCGTCTCGCCTCACTTGAAATTACGTCAAGTCACATAAGTCACGCCAAGTCAAGTCACGCCAGGTTACGTCAAGTCACGTCACGTCACGTCACTTAAAGTCACCTCACGTCACCTCACCTCACCACACCTAACAGCAGGGAATGGTACCCCTTAGTTACTGATTGTTGCGCACAAGTCTACTGCGCAAACACAAACTAACCTAACCTAACCTAAACTAGCCTAACCTAACCTAACCCAACCTAACCTAATCTAATCCATCCTAACCTAACCTACCCTAACATTACCTAGCGTAGCCTCGCCTCTCCCCGCCCCGTCTCGCCTCGCCTCACGTCAAGTCACGCCAAGGCACGTCAATTCACGGCAAGTCACGCCATCACGTCAAGTCACTTCAAGTCACGTGAAGTCACGCCAAGTAACGACAAGTCACTCCAGGTCACGTCAAGTCACGAAAAGTCACGCCAAAGAACATCAGTTCACGGCAAGTCACGACAAGTCACGTCAACTGACGTCAAGCCACGCCAAGTCACGCCGTCACGCAAAGTCACACCAAGACACGTCAAGTCACGAAAAGTCACGTCAAGTCACGTCAAGTAACGCCAAGTTACGTCAAGTCACGTCACGTCACTTCACGTCACCTCACGCCACCACACCTAACTTAAGAGGAGGGAATGGTACCCCTCAGTTACTGATTGATGCGCACAAGACTACTGCGAAAACCTAACCTACCCTAACCTAACCTAACATAACCTAGCCTACCCTAGCCTACCCAAGTCACCCCAAGTCACGTCAAGTCAAGTCACGCCAAGTTACGTCAAGTCACGTCACCTCACGTCACGTCACCTCACCTCACCTCACCTCACCACACCTAACTTAACAGCAGGGAATGGAACCCCTCAGTTACTGATTGTTGCGCACAAGTCTACTGCGCAAACATAAACTACCCTAACCTAACCTAAACTAGCCTAACCTAACCTAACCCAACCTAACCTAATCTAATCCATCCTAACCTAACCTACCCTAACATTACCTAGCCTAGCCTAGCCTCGCCTCACGTCAAGTCACGCCAAGGCACGTCAAGTCACGTCAATTCACGGCAAGTCACGCCGTCACGTGAAGTCACTCCAAGTCCAAGTCACGTGAAGTCACGCAAAGTAACGACAAGTCACTCCAAGTAACGTCAAGTCACGAAAAGTCACGTCAAGTCACGCCAAGGAACGTCAGTTCACGACAAGTCACGTCAAGTGACGTCAAGCCACGCCAAGTCACGCCGTCACGTAAAGTCACGCCAAGACACGTCAAGTCACGAAAAGTCACGGCAAGTCAAGTCAAGTCACGTCACATCACGTCACCTCACCTAACCTCACGACACCTCACCTCACCTAACTTAATGGTCAACTCACGTAAAGTCACTAAAAGTCACGTAAAGCCACGTCAAGTCACGCCAAGCCACGCTAAGTTACGTCAAGTCACCTCACACCACCACACCTCACCTCACCTAACTAAAGACGAGAGAATGGTACCCCTCAGTTACTGATTGATGCGCTCAAGTCTACTGCGCAAACCTAAATTAACCTAAACTAGCCAAACCTAACCTAATCCAAACTAACCTAACCTAACCTAACCTAACCTAGCCTAGCCCCACCCCACCCCACCCCACCCCGTCTCCCCTCGTTTCACGTCAAGTCACGCGAAGACACGTCAAGTCACGAAAAGTCACGTCAAGTCACGTCAAGTGACGTCAAGCCACGTCAGGTCATGCCAAGGCACGCCGTCCCGTCAAGTCACGCCGAGTTACTTCAAGTCACGTCACGTCACGTCACGTCACGTCGCCTCATGTCACCTTACCTCACCTAACCTCACCTCACCTAACCTCACGACACCTCACCTCACCTTACTTAAGAGCAGGGAATGGTACCCCTCAGTTACTGATTGATGCGCACAAGACTTCTGCTCCGCTTAAAGTCACGCTCAAGGGGTTAAGCATCCTGTTGCATTACTATCGCTTTCACACAATAATTCAGTTCCGTCAACAATGCAGCTATTTTATTCTTTCCCTTGCATTGTTGACGGAACTATATTATTCTGTGTAAAAGTTATAGTAATGCAATAGGATGCTTAAATACAAGGGAAAGAATGAAAATAAGAGCATTGTTGACGTAACTGCTCTGTTGTGTGTAAAAGGAGTTCTTAAATTCCAGTCCGTTTATTTATTTCATTTGAAACCTAGTCACTTGTCAACTTTTAGTTACCGCTGTGTCCGTTGATTCAGTTCCAATGAAATGATTTTATCAGTTTTAATATATGAATCTGTATCGATCTAGTTCTTGTCTTTGTAAGTGACTGTGTAAAACTGTGATCACTTAATAACATCTGTAATGTGTAATATTATTTATATATAGATATGATCTGTTTATCACTGGAATTCAAGACTTGGACGATTCTAGAATTATCTCATGCTCTGTATAACATCTCGCATACAAAAGTTGTCCTGTATGTTATGTTTGTACATAATTTTACTCTTGAGATGTTTTACTTATAATCTCTAAAACAGTTTATATGTTATATCTCTTGTTAAAGCTGTTGTTATATATTATATATTATAACCTAACCTATTGGTAGTGGGGTGGGACTAATTCCCTTGTACTGCGGCCACTTCTGGTCTGTTGTACCAGCCCCAGATGATAGGTGAGGGTGATCGTGGAGCAATTGGTGGAATGAAGATTGGCAGGGGAACCGAAGTACTCGGAGAAGACCTGCCCCAATGCCCTTATCCACTACAAATCTCACTTGACCAGACCCGGGATCGAACCCGGGCCGCCGCGGTGTTAAGCCAGCGACTAACCGCTTGAGCTATGGGGTGGCCTATAATAACATAATAATAATTCTTGTATTATTTGTGCTTTGTGCTCGTCTGACGTCATGATTGTTCCTCTTGTCTGCAGCACTGTATGATTCTCTCTGCTCGCCAATCTTATATCATCTTCGGACGTACCTGAAAGGTAACCAAGTTATAACGCCGCTGCACCTTTTGAATTCTAGAAAACAGAACAATTTTCTTTGCATTCACTATCACCTGTCTTCCTGTGCCCTGTAATTGCATGGGGTGAGTGTGCCGGCCCACTGGAATCTAATCATACAAGTGTGGGAGAGATTGTCTAACAGCCCTGAAACTGAAGAGCTCCACCTTCTGGGATATAACGCCGTGTAGTCTGGTCAGAAGTGAACGGACTACTCGGCGCTATATCCCAGAAGACAGAACTCCTCATAACCACCGCTGTGAGAACCTCAGACCCTGCATGGCCCTTGAACTCTTCGACTGTTTATGAGGTTAAATTAGACAGCTTTGTAAGCAGCGACATCTATGTAGAAGAGCGAAGGCAGGAAACGTGCTCATAGCGTATTCTGGCTGTATTTGGCTGCAGATTATACAGGTCACTGGAAGACCGTGTTATGTACGGACTTTTCTACAGCTTTTGTCCAGGGGAGCTGGGATAGCGACTGACTACGGGCTGGACGACCGAGGGGTGGGGGTTCGAGGCCCAGTAATGTCAAGAATTGTCTCTTCTTCGCCTCCAGACCGGTTCTAGGGCATACCCAGCTTCCTGTCGAATGGATACCGGAGCACTTTATCTGGTGCTAAAGCTGCCTGGGCATGAAGCTGACCACTCGCCTCTGACTATTGCCGAGGTAAAAAAAATCGTGGACCTATACATCCACTCCCCCATACTTCATGACATAGCGCAAAATTAATTAAGGACAGGGACAAATTTTGTCCAAAACTTCTTTGGCATCGATATAAGCGGGTTAGACTCGAGATGAATAGAAACTCTCCTGTAAGTAAATATTCGTGTAAAGTGTCTGTTGATGTCAGATTTTAACCTAAATTGGCTCGAGTCATATTTTAGTAGATGTCCCCAGCACAAATTTCATGGAAACTTGTTCATTGGTTCCCGAATTGCGCTCCTAAATCTTATTTCTAACGTACTCTTTGTCGTGGTTACATCGAAAAGTTGCAGAAATCTGCTTATTAAATTCGTTGTCTACCGCGAATGAATTTAAAATGTTAGAACCGCTCAGTATTTTTAATCAAATTGTATATTGGACCGTTTTACTAAAAATGTTCGACACATTTTGTTTCAAATTCTACAGCGTTAAGGATTTCATTAGCTTTTATACACTCATCTCCAGGATAACGGGGACACGCGGTAGCGTAGTTGGTTGAGGCACTATGCTACAAGCCGGAAGGTCACGGATTCCAGTCCCTATGAGGTGGATTTGTTCCATTTACGTAATCCTTCCAGCCGCACTATTGCCCTGTGGTCGCTTCAGCCTCTAACAGAAATGAGTACTAAGAATCTTCCTCTGGGGGTAAAGGGCGGCCGGCGCGTAAGGCTGACAATCTTATCGCCATATGTGAGCCGATTATCTAGAGAAAATGTGGGAGCCTGGACGCCACGCAACACTATCGGACAACACTATGGTCCCTCACAGCCTGTTACAGGGTTAGCTTTACCTCTTATCTCGAGGATATTCCTCGTAATATTTTTCAGAGCGAAAAGTTTTTCCGAACAGAAGCTGCAGAGAAAAATTAAATTATGTGCATAGTACACGCTATGTAGAAGGAGTAAATATTAAGACAAGAGCTTTAGAATTCTTACACTTTACGTACCTTGTGTAACAGTATATACATTTTTATTATCTTCAAAGATATTTCTGGGGGAGTATGAACGCGCAAGGATCGGTCCTGTAATTACAGTTCTCTGTGAAGATATTACAGTTTCGAGTAAGCATTATTAACAGCTTTTTCTTTTGCTAGTGGGGTGGGACTAAGTCCCTTGCACTGCGGCCACTTCTGGCCTATTTCACCAGCCCCAGATGATAGGTGAGGGTGATTGTGGAGGAATTGCTGGAATGAAGTTGGCAGGGGAAACCGAAGTACTGAGAGAAAACCCGCCCTAGCGCCACTTTGTTCACGACAAATCCCACTTGACCAGACCCGGGATCGAACCCGGGCCTACGCGCTGGGAAGCCAGCGACTAACCGCTTGAGCTATGGTGCGGCCTATTAATAGCTTACTTAATCCTTAACGTTCAAAGATCGATTGACTTTACAGTGAAGAAGAAAGATTTCACGTGCTGTAAGCGCTATATAGTTTGTTGTCGGACATTTTGAATTGTAATATGCAGTTCTTACCCTGGAGATGGAAATGTGCGCCAGCAAAATCAGGACCTATAAAGGCTTCACAGAAGTTTCTCTGAAATTGTTGATGTCCTTGGGCCATACTTGTGGCGTAATTATTTTTATTGAACTTTCATTTTTGGATACTTGAAATTATAGGGTTAATTATAGCCAAATAATCGGACACGATGAATAGGTGATGTATGGAAAAAGAGTGTGTTCTCCTGCATTATCATGCTTAGATTTAGTCGTCTATTCCACTCCTGCCTTCCTGCTCTGGGTTGGTTTCTGCAAGTTTCGGGAGATCTTATACTTTTTCTTTCAGTATAGCCTTTGAAATTGCTGAATTTGACCCTTTCCATGCTACAAACAGACACACATGTACATACATACTATCACTAGTTCGATAAGTTAAATGCAGCTAAGTTAGTTTGAGTTATGTGAAGTTAGGTTAGTTTAGTTAGGTTAAGTTAGGTTACAGACGTGTTTGCACGTATTTTGACTCCTTTTTATTACGATTTAGCCAATATAAACAGCTTGGAAAGGGTTAACTTATATAATACATTAATATCTTTACGGATAATGCTGTTCAGGTTTGATTTGTTTCACTTAATTTTACATGTGATGGAAGTATTTAAGAAGGAAGTAATCAGGACACTGAGTAAGCAACCGCTCGTCTCTAAACGATGACACAATTTTGTGATTCCAGTTACGAAATTACGGGAACACTGGGACGAAACAAACTCCAAGGTGATGCAGAGGAAGACGCAGTTGGACGCCATGCTGACGGACAGTCAGCGCTACGAGAGCAAACGGCTGGAGGTGGAAGCTTGGCTGGGGCGAATGGACACACGCCTCGAACGCATGGGACCGGTGGGTCACACTGCAGACGTGTTGGAAGCGCAGCTGAGGGAACAAAAGGTACGAGTAGAGTATAGTGTGACAGTGCTACCAGCTAACTTAATTCTAGTAATGTTCAGTATTATATATGCGAGCCGCAAGGAATCTTGTTTCCGTAAGGGGACCAAACAGTTTGCCTTCAAGTTTACATTTAAACCACTTAAAATATTTTTTTTAAATTACCCTAGAGGTGTGAGTCTTTACAGTAAAACACAGATGGAGCCACAAACTGTGTTTAAGATCATTGGGCTATCAGTGTTTGATTTATTTCACGTTTATCAATTTTGATATTTAAAAGAAAATTAGAGGGGCGAGATATAGTTTGTCCCCCCTCCACTACCCCCCACGTATGATATTTACACGCCCTCTTTAACATGTTTTCATTAATATCAGACCATTGACAGTTACCCAAATTTCGTTACAACAAATTATCTTAGCGGTCGTGTGAAATGGCATCTTTCAGTGTCGGAATGTTATCCCTTTACCCTACGGAGATGTGTGAGGAGTGAAGGTGCAGCTCCATGCAGTTTTTAACATTATCATTAAATGTATTTGAGTGATAACGCCCCACCGCGTAACCCCAGGGAAAGCGTCCGCAGTACCCATTGGATAGAATTGTGGGTCCCTTGGCCCTGCCGAGAATCGAACTCTTAATGCTCGGCTGTCCATCTTGACTTAACAGTACGCTCGAACTGTACCGTCTGAAGTTGTCACTGTTCGGAATTGTATTGTGGAATAGCGCGGTCTGCGTCCTTCACAATTCACATGTCGAACGATTCTCACAGAGACTTGGCACCGAACTAGTATTGCTGTAAATGGAACACAATCATACTTTTACAACGGGAAAAAAACTACGCATCCTCGCCGGTCTTTTGTTTCTAGATTTTTTAAGAACCCTAGAAAATTTAATACACCTCGAGGGGGAAGTGCTGTCCCTTCTGATGAGTCGTCGCCGCCAGTAAAATGTAATACAGGGTGAGTTTCTTTTTAGGCTGCACTTCCTTGAAGCGAACTTAACGCGTAATCATTCTACCTGACGACTGGTGGAGCTCTCTCCGCTTGAGCGCCCTCTGGCAAACCATCTCTCACTGCATGAACAAAATCATACTACATCTGAAGCGGTTCAGTATCACGAAAAAAACTCCGTGGTTTTTAGTCCGCAAGCGAACTATACCGACCGAGCGACCGCGTCTCGTCGACGAAGTTAGTGCCATCTTTTGCGGATAGAAGGTGGCACGTGGTCAGCGCGACGGATCCCACGGCCGTTAATTTCGGTTTCCTAGACCTGAGCCACTACTCTTCCGTTCAAGTAGCTCCTCAGTTATCCTCACGAGGCTGAATGGACCCCGTTCCAGACCCACTACTTCTCAGAAAATCTGGTAGCGCCGGGAATCGAACCCAGGACCTCTGGATCTGTAGCCAGGAACTCCGACCACTAGACCACAGAGGCGGGCTTTGACTTGGAACTTCACTGGCAATCTTCGCAGAAGGCCTCTGTAGACTGGAATCTACATTTATTTTGATTTTCCTCCGCTTCTGTTAGAAGGTACACGCGGTAGCGTAGTTGATTGAGGAACTTTGCTAGAAGCCAGAAGGTCTCGAGTTCGAGTACCAATGAGGTGGATTTTTTCAATTTACGAAATTTACCTTCCAGCCGCAATGTGTCCCTTATTCATATAAATTCAGACTTTAAAGGGTTAATGCCTCCTTATTTCCTTGTAGTCCCGTATTAGGTAACCAAAATCCGACTGCGTAGTAGTTTCCCTCATTATGGAACTGGATTTATGTTCATTAGTGCCCTCGGTATAATCCCTTGGCGCCACTCTTAACAACATTGTGGCTCGAAATGTGGCTTACGGCAAGGAAACATATCTGTAAAGTTAGTATAAGAATTCTTTTGTTGTGAACTATTAATACGCTTCGCACAGATAAGCATAGGAAGACCGTATATTGATCAGTTGTTTGGCCTCCGACTGTCTCCATTAACCGACTTATTTGTAATCTTACTTATAGGTCATACTGAACGTCAGAATAACAGTTTTAGCTCGAAGTATGCCTACCGCGAAGAGCAATCAGAAAGTAGGTTACAAAGCGGATTTCTTGAAATAATTAGCTGTGCCCCACCATGCAGTAATTTGCTGCTGGTTCTCGCCAGCACAGTAAATCTTGGTATAAGGACTCACGACCAAATTGTTATTCGTTCCAAACCTTTTACATGTTTTGAAACAGGGAGGTGGGTTCTGACTGCTACTCTCTGACCTAATCGCCGGAAGTAGTTTGAATCATTCCCTGAATCTTGAAGTGGGATTATCGTCACCGGTTACATGCAGTACGAATGTCCCAAGATGTACCCAGACGATTTTCGGGTAACTTTCGGGCGATCGCATTTTGTGACGTCATTGTCATCATTCATTCATTATCCCTGTTCCTTCCAGGGCCACAGGGAATAACAGAATGCAGCTATTGGGCCCTGTTCTCAGCCGGTTGTTGAACTTCGTTGAATGCTTTTGCCTTTTGTTGGCCATTCCTTCTCATCTGAATTGTTTTTAGTCTGCTTCTGCGGGGGCACCCGGCAGCGTAATTGGTTGAGGCGCTATGCTACAAGCCGGAAGGTCACGGGTTCAAGTCCCAATGAGGTCATTGGATTTTTTTTTCAATTGACCTATTCCTTCTGGCCACACTATGGCCCTGGAGTCGACTCAGCCTCTAACAGAAATGAGTACCAGGAATCTTCCTGGGGGGTAAAACGCGGCCGGCGCGTAGGGCTGACAACCTTACCGCCATCTGTGAACCGATTGTCTAGAAAATGTGGGAACCTCAACATCTCACAACCCTATGGGCCTTCACGGTCTGTTACAGGGATCGCTTTACTTTACTTTACTTTACCCTGCCAATCTTCATTCCACCAATTGCTCCACAATCACCCTCACCTATCATCTGGGTTTGGTACAATAGGCCAGAAGTGGCCGCAGTACAAGGGACTTAGTCCCACCCTACTAGCGATAAAAAAGAATTCTCAGTCTGGTTCTGTTCCCTTGACGATCCCATTCCAGTACTTACCTTTTTAACAATCCTTTTTTTCCCTTTCTAGCGCATATCGAACTCATTTCCCTTCTCTGCTTTAGTTTGTCACTGTAATTTATTGCTGTCATGTTCTGCTCCAAAGTATAAGGGTGTTATGTGCCGTAAACTGTCTTAATATAATGCAGAAATAGACTTAGATAAACTTGCATATGTGGTACAGAGCCATGCTTCTAATAATAATACGCTGCGAAGTGGCACCAACCCACTTCACAGTGAAGATGAAGTCTAGGCGTGGACCGATGGTTGGCGCGAGTGCAGAGGGAACAGGTGGCACCACCTGGTTCGATTTTGTCATGCAAACATCAAGCCTTGCACGTGCCTGATACATAAAGTAGTCACAAAGGGATTGTCCCTTACATGTGTAAGGGATAGTTCAACGTAAAGGGTCCATTGTTCGCTTTGATATTGTTTTCTGCTGTATCTTCTGATCTTCTGACACACGCTGACACATTGCAGAACACTCTACATTAGTTTAACACTTTGGGAATATGCAGAAGGTTTTTTGGAATGCTTTCTTAGAGTTGACCAATGTAAGACCATCGAAAACTCTCGACATAGTGTAAGGGTAATTTGTCTGAAAGGTAAAGTTGTCCCTGTGCTTAACTAATTAAGCACTACGCCATGAAGACGTATGGGGGAATGGATGTATAGATCCACATTTTCTTGACCTCGGCACTAGTTAGAGATGAGTGGTCAGATTCACGCCCCGGCTCCTTTGTCCCTGGTACCCATTGGATTTGAGGTTATGTGGACCCCAGAGCCGGTCTGGACGGCATGGAAAAGTGAAAATTCTTGTCCCCACCAGGACTTGAACTCCGAAACCTCGGTCGTTCATCCAGTAGCCAGTCGCTATACCGACTGCACTATCCCGGCTGAATTTGTTGTAAGTGCCTTGCTTAACTTTCTAAGTTAAAAAAAACCACATGAGAACATATTTTAAATCCCCCATAGGAAAATATTTAGTTCACCCAACATGTTTTGGCAGAAATTTTGCCATCTTCGCTTCTTATTAATTAAGTATATAAGGAAATAGAGTTATACGTTATGTGAATATAATACAATTAAAATGGGAACCGGGGCGGCTCAGTCGCTATAGCGACTGGCTACGGACTCACGATCACGGGTTCGGAGTTCGAGTCCTGGTAGGGTCAAGAATTTTTTCTTCTCCATGTCGTCCAGGCTGGCTCTGGGGCCCACCCGACCTTCTATACAATGTGTACCGGGGGCTGTTTCCCGCGGGTAAAGCGGCTGGGGACGGGAAGCTGACCTCCAACTAGTGCCGAGATCAAGAAAATGTGGATCTGTACATCCATCCACTCCTTCAAACGTGTACATGACGTAGTGCTTAATTAGTTAAGCACAGGGAGAACTTGTTTCACCTTACGGTGAAAATGTGTATCAGAAATCTCATAGTTTCAGTAGTCCCTTACGTGATTCTTGTCAACAAAATCTTAATCAGTTATATTACGTATTTATAACGGTCTTCAAACGATTGGACACTTAAATAAATTAGAGCAATTCATTTTAGGGGTATTAATACCCAGACTGGCATAAAGTAGCTTGGGTAGTTCTACGGTTCCCCTCGATACGTATATCGATCCCTTGCATTGTTTATCCGGATCTTAAAGTACCTACTGTGTTACATCTGGTAGGCTGCCATCTCTCGTCATGCGGTGTGAACTACATGCGCCTAATGCCTCCATCTTGCGTGTTCCTGCAGAACTAGAAATGAGTCATGTGGGTGTTACGTAGCATCGTCATTATACTTATAGCACAATGGAAATCAGTGGTCGTTTCTTAGCTTTACTTTTCGAGTGTTAACATGTACTTAAACATGAGCTGAAGATGACTTTTCGAACGTTTTAAAAGCTTGAGCTGAGGAAATGACGCGGAAGAGTGTTTAGTTTATTGAGTTGAGTTTCATTACTTTACGTAGATCTGTGCCCGCATAACACGAGGTTTTTGTTTTCGTCGTAATTTTGTCTTTCAGTACATACTAAAAGCGTATGGGCTTTATTATGCCTTTAAAGTCATCCCACAACTAATTACTCTCAGCTGGATATTGTTTTATCAAGATAATATAAAAGCAAAGATAAAAATACGGCAATATGTAAAGTTATCGCTGTACTTTATTATGTGACTAAGCATTATGCTCTGAAGGCATGTGGGGAGAGTGGAGGTATGGCTCCACAGTTCTTAACCTTGGCAGTAGATGGAGGTAAGCGGTCTGCTTCACGCCTCTGCCGCTTTACCGCCGTGGATATAACCCCGATTGCCTACTATATAGGAGTCTCAGTGGGCCTCAAAGCCAGCCTGGAGTTATGGAAAAGAGAAAAGTGTCTTGCCTCTGCCTGGAATCGAACTACGGTTGTCAGGCTCATAACCTAATCGCTGTATTTACTGAACTGTCCCGGCTTGAAAGAATATGAAATATCTAATAACTTAGTAATGGAGTTCAGGTTCCCGAAAGAATTTGGCTTAACAGTTCAGTTTACGGAGCCGTTGTGTTTGTGCTGCAGTAGAAACCGTTACAGCAGAAGCGCTCGAACGTGTTTGAACCCACACAAACTGCCTCGATACCGGACATGTTAACAATAGGTGTACATGGGGCGCTTTGCTAAAGTAGACCCGACGTGCATTTCGTCAGTTTAGAATCTCTTTTTGAGTTTTGTGGCGTGGTTGCTAAAATAGAACACTTTGAAACGTCAAACATATTTCGTGAACATTGGCGCCGATAGGGGAAGGCAGAGCCAGGCATTTGTCCTCCACCTTGGATTAAAAAATAAAAGAGACATACCGACTGTTAACGGGGGCACGTAGTAGCGTAGTGGTTAAGGCACTATGCTACAAGTCGGAAGGGCGCGGGTTCAAATACCGATGAGGTCACTGGATTTTTTTCAATTGACCTAATCCTTCCGGCCGCACTATGGTTCACTCAGCCCCTAACAGAAATGAGTACCAGGAATTAAATACATAATTTTCCTGGGGAGTAAAGCGCGGCGGCGCGTAAGGCTGACTCTCACCATCTCACAACCCTATGGGCCTTCACGGCCTGTTACAGGGATAGCTTTACTTTACTTACTTACTTTTACCGAATATTAATCCAATAAAATTAAAGTTGTTTTTGTTGAATAATTCAACGATATATTCAGTATCGAGATTATATTCGTTCGGTAAAAGTAGGCATATTTAACGGATTTCTTCTTTCGTGAATAATGTCGACTGATCAGAAAACGTATCTTCGGCGGCTTTCACGCAGGTCAGTAAGGAAAATTTCTGACTTCCCCCCCCCCGATCCTTTTAGAAAAGCAGCTGCTCCGCTACGGTAACTGTCGGCGCCCATGTTTTTGTACATTCTGTATGTGTGTTTTTCATCCAGACGGTGGACGGCAGTTCAAGAATTTTTTTTTCCACAAAAATGTCTTTCCACAAATTGAATGTAACAAGTGTTTCACGTTTCTTCGACCTGTTGTTATTAATTCGTGAAGACGTTTCCACAACATGAACATTTGCACAGCCCCCATGTTGATATCAGGCGAAAGTAAAGGCAAAAAAATGTGAGGTTACCCCTGTGCTCAATTAATTGAGAACCACGCCATGAAGACAAATGGGGGAGTGGAGGTATAGATTCACTATCCTTGTCCTCACCACTGGATGGAGTTGAGCGGCCAGCTTCACGCCCCAGCCGCTTAAACTCCGGGGAGAGAGGCCACGGAGCCGGTCTGGACGCTGTGGAGTAGAGAAAAATCTCTTTCCCTGTCGGGAACCGAACCCCGGCAGTCCAGTTCGTAGCCTGTGGGGTTGTAAATTATGGGACTGATAGAGTCATGACCTTCGTAACGAAATGATAAGAGTTAATCAACAACGGAAGATTCTAAAGCTGCTTTCTCTTGTACAGACGAGCCAAAATGTGAGGAACTGCACTTGCAAATTTGCGTTCTAGAGATTCTGGCAGAACGAAAATTAGGTTTTCTGATCTCTCCTTTTTTGCCGCTTTAGGTAGGAGAATTTTAAAGAAATGCGCCTGTTCGCTTCTCTGTGTATGTCTCTCTCTTTCTACATGGAACAGCCCCAGTTTTCCTGAGCGGATTTCCGATGAATGTGATACTTGAGGGCGGGGCACCAGAAGTGATTGACACATTCCATTTCGGTTAAAATTGGACAGCAGTTACTGACACTTTACATGAAGACGTATGTACATGTGTTTCTATATGTATCTTGAGCATATTATTTCAGACGAAAGTTGTAGAAAAGAAGGAAGGCCACATTTTATATCCAATTCATTTTCTGTGCAAACCTGAACAGTTTTCGAGACGACTGGAGAGCGAGGGCGTTTGTGTCGTCATCAGTCAACTCAAGATACGTTGCACCAAGTTTAATCATATCCTGTGTTGTAGGTCTTTGCACATATATGAAAGCAAAGTGCGAGAATTGTTATCCTATGTTTATATTTTCAAACGTCTTAAGTATCCAGGATAGCTCAGTCGCTATAGTGATGGGCTACAGGCTGATTTCCGGGGTTTCGATTCCTGGCAGGGCCAGGAGAATTTTTTTTCTACTCCACAGAATCCATACCTTCCCTGTTCCAAATCCACCCTCTTACCTTGGTGGGTACCAGAGGCTCTTTCCTCGAGGGTAAAGCAGATGGGGCTTGAAGCTGACCACTCGACTCTTATGTACTGCTGGCTTTAAGAATGGTGGAGCTATACCTCCACTCCCTCATTCCTCTTCATGGCGGGATGGTTACTCATTTAGGGACAGGGAAAACTTAATTTTTTACTATTTATCCAATATACCTTCAGATATAATAAAGCAATGTTGCACTCAACCCATGTAAGGATGTCCATACAGAGTAAAATAGAACTTTTTAAGCCTTACAGGACAGAGGGGTTTAAACCGTTCCTGAAGGTAACATTTTTACTTACTCTTCCACGAATTATTTGATATAGAGAAATCCGGAAACTAACATCTCCCAGTATCACATATTAGTTTCATCTGTCTGACACAGATTGGCTACTGTCTGGAACGTTTGCCTTAACGTTATGACTGCATTTTGCCCACACATATTATTCTTAGAATAAAAAGTGATTATTTCCCTAAACAGCATTGACAGCATCTTGTAATTGTGATAAAGCTTGCGTTCAGTGAGGTAGGATGTTAACCTGTCAGAGCCCAGTGGTTACTATACGTTCCTCCTACTTTGACATACTAAAATTCTGTAGTATGACCCCACAGAGTGTGTTTGTGGGTTCTGTATTGTTCTCACAATAAACCGGGACTGTTTCCCTAAACGGCAATTAACTGGCTGGGTTTTGTAGGGGAGACGTAATATATTTACCTTGAGGTACAAACTGAATATATTCCTATATTTGTATATTAATTAGAATAAGGGATAATTTTTAAACATAATTTAGATTAACTTCTAGCCTCATGAGGTTAATGACGGTATACTGATGCAGTAAAAGCAAGTGAGGAACGTGAAATATATGCCAAGAAGAATATATTTCACAGAGATATTGGATTTTTGGACTTTATCCATCGTCCTGGTTTTAAGATAACTAAGAAAAACACAACGTTTCGGAAACTGGATCTGTTTCCATCCTCAGGTGAGGGAACACACCTAGTCTGTTGGGTCGCTTAGAAAGAGCTAGCCTCACTCACGTCCAGTCGTGTTTTTCTTAGTTATCTTAAAACCAGGACGATGGATAAAGTCTGAAAACCCAATGTCTCTATGTGTTATACACCATCTTCAGAGTCCTATAGTAACTACAAGAATATATTTGTGTCAGTTGAAGTAAGAGCAGTTTTGTGTGCTTTTGTTTCCAGTCATATCATGCAGAACTGCACCAGTACAAACACCACATTGAATTATTCAATCAGCTCACTCAGAAGTTAATTGCTGTATACCAACAAGATGATACCACCAGGGTGAAGAAGATGACAGAAACAATCAACCAGCGCTATAACAACCTGAACACGAGGTGCGTGGCTGTCGTGGTTAGGCTCTGAGGCACAGATACAGTTCTTGTGGTCCTTTTCCTCCTCCTGTCCTTCTTCCCCATCCATTCACATGCTTCTTCTTCTTTCTTCCTGATCTCCTTTTCCTTCCCCCCACATCACCTGTCACTCATCTGTTCCTCTTCCTCAAGTAGTATCCCTCTCACCTTCTCGTGTACCTCATTTCCACCTCCTTGTGTCTGCCTTCGTAGTCTCCTCCTCCTCCTCCTCCTCCTCGTCTCTTTATTTTCTTAATCTCATCTTCTTTTCCCCATCTCCTTTTTCTCCATATTTCCTCTTGCTCATATCCCCTTTCCTCATTCCCTCCTTGTATCCACCGCCTTGCCTCCTTGTACTGCTCCTCTTCCCATCCATCATGTCTCCTCATCTCTTCATCCTCACTCCTCTTTCTAGTCCCCTTTTCCTTTTTCTTGTCTCCTCTTCCTGCTATCTTTGTTGTTCCCTCCTCCTTGCTCATTTCCTCATCTCCTTGCCTTCTTTGTTTCCTCCTCTCTCTTGTTCCCTCCCCCTCTTTCTTGCCTCTCTCCATGTCTCCTCCCGTTCCTCATCCCTGCCTCATAGCCCATCTCCTCAGCTCCTCCTTGTCCCATCCTTTTCTCTGCATCTCTTCCTCTTCCACATCTTGTCACATCCTATTCCTCTTCTCCTCTTCCTTGTCTTGTCCTTGTCTCCTCCACTTCCTCATCTCCTCTTCCTTGTCATTTCCCCCTTGCTCAACTCTTTTCCCCTCCTTATGCCCACCTCCTTTCATCCTCATTATTGTCTCCCCCTCCTCATCCCCCTCCTGTTCTGTCTCCTCGTCCTCCAGCCCCTCCATGAATTGCGTGACATGGACACTGCACTGGAACTGTCTCTCTGGTCTGCTTCCTTTGTAGGAACTGAGCCTTCAGCACGTCAGTACCCGGTTTGTAAGACAGGAGCAGGAAAGTTTATTTGCTATGTGTGAGGCTGATTGTAAGCAGGAATAAGCAGTTCTTAAGTTACGCTGAATGTACCATAGTTCTGTTTAGTGTAGGAGTGATCTCATACCACTGCTTATTGTATGCATCTGTCACGTTTTGCTGGGCCCCTGTTAGTGCAGGCCTGTCAGGTAATGACACCACCAGCATAGCCAGTGAGGAGGCAGTGTTGTTGGAAATGTGACACCAGAAGGAACTGTGCCCCAGGCAGCAAGGCCACTGCCTGCCCTCATTCTGCTGCTTTCTCTTCCTGGCAAGATGAATAGAACCATACACAGGACAGAAAATTGCAAACCATCCATTGAGGTACAGAAGTCCTCCATCAGTTCTATCTGGAAGGAGCAAGTCATACTGATGTTCATTTAGTTTGGCCACACATAACTTGGACGTTCCTTAACTGGTGACATGACAATAATTTGAGCATTGGGTGAGGTACCAATTATGGTGCCATGTATTTTGGTGGAATAGCCATGGGATGATGATGAATGCTGTAAATTTTGTCTTGATGGTACACTGCATGATAATTTATGAAAAGAATCTTGTCATTGTTTTCTGTAAAAAAAAAAGAAAAAGAAAATTGTGTACAGTAAATTCTGTTGTCAGGGACAATACTAGCTACAAAAGGCATTGATAAATGAAGGCAGTGAATATCACAAGTGAATTAATGCAACTGAACCTTGTGTTATGGAATTGAAATTTCAATGATTGATTTGTTATTTAGTTCTCCCTTTTTTGGGCTCATGGATTCAAAGGAAAACAATTCTGCCTCTTCATCCAACATATATTCTGAACTGTGTTTGCAAATGGCCTTTGTAAATACACTTTGATAAACTGTTTATGAAGGAAACTGAATACAAATTATCAGTACTTCAGAAACAGATGTTAATATAATAAAAGAATGTGATAAGTAAAAAAAAAAAACACACACACACGTGCACATGAAAAACAAATGTAATTTGCTTATATACTTGTCATTCAAACAACAAAAGGGTGTCTTGTCATTGAACAGAAGGTCAGATGGAAACATATGTATAAAAGCCAACTGTAATTATAACATATTTGAATGGATAGTCTACTGCTGCATGAAGATGGCTGTCTTTTTGTTTATACATTAATTATATGAAGCATGGCAGATTAAACTGTTTTTTGTGATTGTAAGTATTCATATATTTAGGCACAGGTTGCTAGGAGTTATTAATTTATAATTGATGACACATTGAGGAGCAGAAATGACAAGGTCTTTTTGTAGAAAAACTTGGCCCACATAAATGATATTCAAACTGCTCAAAAGTTGTCCAGTTAAGCACTGTCCCATGAAGGCATATGGGGAGTGGAGGTATAGCTCTTGACTTGGCTCTAAATGGAGGTGAGTGGTCAGCTTCACATCCCTGCTGCTTGACCTACAGGGAGATATCCCACCCCCTCCATACTCATTTGAGAGGAGGCAAGGTGGGCCCCAGGGCTGATGTGGGCACTGTGGGGAAAAGTCTTGTACAGCCAGGAATTGGACCTAGGTGACTGAGCCCTCCACTATAGCAACTGATCTATCCCAACTTCAGTTAAGGCTACACTTCTCAACATAAATTCTTCAAATGTTGATGTGTCCATCAAGCAAGCTGGCCAAGTGATAAAGGGTATTCATTGTGTTCAGGACATGCCTGGTTCAACTTTCAGTGGCACACTGGCTGCCCTTACTCAGCTTGTTCATAATTGTCCTCAGTTCCCTTGATGCCAATATAAACTTTGAAATGTACCAATACCAATTTCTTTCCCTGTTCTTTCTGTCTCAGATTACAGTGTCGTCCTGTGATCTGATTGATGCTGAATAACATTTCTAGTTAATACAGTTTTAAGCAACAAATTTCTTAGTTCATGTGATGATCTGTACCCACAAAGTGCTTCAAATTAACATTCTTTTAAATGTTGAAATTTTCCACATGCAGTAAATTCGGCTCCCCGGAAGGAACCCACAACAGATATGTTTTTGTATTCTGCTTGTTGCAACATACAAGACTGTGCACAGACTGAGGACTACCCATGCCAATGTCATGCATGACAAGGAACTTCTTGTTTTGTAACCAGCCAAATTTTTGGTCAGAGCGATAAAGTCTGAGGTTGTAGTAATGCATTAGATAAGTGTGGAGCAATGATGGAATGAAGATTAGCAAGAGAAAACCAAAGAATCCCAGAGAAAACTTGCTTGAGTGCCACTTTACTCAATAGAAGTCTCCTATAACATCACTTGGCACTGAAAAAATGGCTCTTCTATCACAAAAAATTAAAGGCCAACTTAATGAGCTATGACCTGACCCATGAAAACTGCAATTAGAGCTAAAATTACTTCTGTCCCTAGGTTTTGTGCCATAAAGGCATCTAGGGAACATGGAGGTAAAGCTCTGCACATGTTTTGGGCTTACACAGTTGTATAATCTCATTTGAAACAGTACTGATATTCTGAAGGTTAATATATTGGATGTTAACAGCATCATCAACCGAGGGAAGCTGCTCCACTCGGCAATGAACTCCCTGCACAACTTTGATCGGTCATTGGACAAGTTCCTTGCATGGCTGTCTGAAGCTGAGTCTTCAATGGAATGTGTGGAAGCAGAGACAGATCGACTTGGTGGGCGGAGAGATCCTGGTCTTCTGCGACAGCCTCTTCATCAGCTCAAGGTAGGGAACAGCATACATTCAAGTTGTTTTCCCCTCTCATCTCTTCGTGTGTTAAATCAAAACGTTGCACATATTTTTGTGTTCTAAGGTGAAACGAAGGCTTCGGAATTCAGTGATCAGGATTTTTAATATTTTTAAATTAGATTATGAAAGTTGTATCCGAACTGCAATACTTCTTTTTCTCTTACCAAGGATGAGTTTAATATGTATTTACTTTCGCGTTTAAGGATAGCATTTTGTCATTTCTTATTGAAAATTAAAAGTACAAGTTGATAAGAGGAAGCTTAAGAATTTTGTAATATATTCCGTTAGAACTGTGAACCAGATTTTGTTTAAATATATTTGATTAGCTAGTTGAAGTGCTACCTACTTGATAAAATAATTTAAAATGATTAAACGAAAACAAAATAGCATCCAGTGTTTTGATCCACCTGTGAAACTGGAGGCAGCATTTTCCTTTAAAACGTCAGTAAATGTTATCATTTTGTCAACCTACATGTGACACCCATAAGGCATTGTCTGTTATAATTTTTTTTTTGCTAGATCCCAGTATCGGGTATATTTATGGTATAAAAACATGCAGTGCCAACATTTATTGGACTTGAACCTCTGTGTCTTCTGTACTTGCTGTTGTTTTGGGTTGCTACTAGCTACACCTCAGTGGCAGGAGAAACACTGTGCCACACTGACAGGATGTATGAGTTGAAGATTACATGACAGTTGTGGTAGCAGATTAATTTCATGCTTGGAAATGCAGTAGAAATTGTGTAATTTGATGTATTTGACATGGTTGGGGTCCCAGGAGACTAGCACTGAAAGGACTACAGCAGCAGTTTTGTGCTTGAGCGAATGCTTTTGACCTGTGTTGTCATTGAAATTTTCCATCTGTTTGCTAACTCATAGTTGTTGTAACATTAAAGCTTCGCTTAGTGAGGGGTGGAGTCCAGTTGGGTCCACTCAGTACCGCGGCCACCAATTGACCTATTGTATCTGCCCAGAGTGATTATGATGATTGAGAATTTGGTGGAATGAAGATTGGCAGGGGAAACCAAAGTACTCGGAGAAAACCCGCCCCAGCACCACTTTGTCCACCACAGATCTCACTTAACATTAAAGCTTAATACAATAACACAGTACCAGACTCACAATAGCTCCGACAGAGTCTGAAGGACCACCTACAGGACAACACGTGAATTCTCCATATAACATATGATAACAGCGTCTCGACAATACTCCCACTGCACCCAACTTTCAACCCGATTAAGATAACGCATGTGAACATACAGGAGTTTGTAACATCATGCTCACCTAGGAATGAACCAGACCAGAGTGACCAGTATACCAGCGAAGTAACTGATATATACATACACATATTTTAATCTTAGTTTGAACCCTCATTTAACCTTCGACTCTATATACATTAATGTAACTAATTATATTTAATACCAATATAATTGGACTGTAAAGTAGGTAATACCAAGCATTTTGTTACCAAGCATAATATTACGTGTTATACAGTTATACTCAAAATATGGATTCTTATTAAAAACATGTTGGGTACGTAAGCATAAATAATACACCTGATGATGATCCAATAAGGGTCGAAACATGCCGTGTTTTAAGGTTTTAAAATTTTAATGTAATTATCTATATTTGTATATTTAAAAAATACTCAGTGTAAGCTTTTTCCTGTTCAGTGTTCATACTTCATATGCGGGATGTCTGCCTTATTTTCAGTTTTCGAAATATTTCCCTAGTACCTTGTAATAAGTACTTTAGTCCTTTCAGTATTTCTGATTGTGTATTCTTGTTCGTATTTATGCATGATAGCATCAGAGGGAGTTGTCTTGTATTTCTTGCAGTCCATTAGTTTCACATCCAGTTTATTGGATCGAATGAGGAATTCATAACCTCTAATGCTAGCCTGTCTTCTGGCCGTGTTCGAACAGGGAATTTTTATAATAAGCAGTCTGTTACTAATCCCATTGTTTAGTGTTAAAAGGAGGAAGTTGGGTTTTCCGTGTTCATAGTGAAGTACCATGCAGTGAAGATGTAAGAATAGTGGCGTATAGTTCCATGCTTTCGGCACTAGATGGAGCTGAATGGTCAGCTCCACGCCCCCAGGTATGCCCCAGAGTCCCTTTGGACACTGTGGAGCATGGAGCCTTCATTCCTTTGTCCAGTCCGTGGCCTAGTCGCTATACCGACTGAGCGTTAGGAATACGTAATGGTTCATTAATACTAATTCGCGTAGTTCAGTTATGAAGACCCGAATTTTCGAAATAGACAGGAATCTATGGTCCGAATTGTTCATAATGTGTGAGACGTTCAAAGAGACGCAGCAGTGTCCAATGAAAATTCTGTGCGATTCGTTGTTTTCGGTTTTTCTGAAGTCACAAGTTTATAGAGTAAATTTTTGGATATTAAAATATGGAAATAAAGAAGCAAGCCCCACCGACAGTAAAGTCCATAGAGGCGCAATGGATCAATAAATCCCCGACTTGAAATATCAGCACGTGGTAACGGTTAAGTACAGTCTTTAGCAATACATCTGGCTGTGAGACACTGGCAGTGCAGTATCTTCCCGTTAGATGGCAGCGTACACCAGTTAAACCGTGTTCCCGATAGATGGCGAGGTATAACGCATAAAGCATTTCAGTTACTGTAATCGTCGTGAGATGGCGCGCAACTACTCTTGCGTTTTAGTCTTGAATATGCCTGGTGGTGCATCAGATTCCCACAACGAAGATAACGGCGTGTAGACCGGAGGAAGGCTACCAGTCTGTACGGCGTTATGCCCCAGAAAATGAAACTCATCTCTGAATATGCCTTTATTGCTAATGGTACAAATAACGGCTGTAATAAGAGTACGCCGCATTTTTGTGTGGAAAGGGATTGAGAATGAGTTTTTCTGTACATAAAATAAGCATTTCACAGTTAAAAGGATCGAGTTTGTTATCGGTAGGAAGTTGTACGTAATACTAAGAGTTCGCTGGTGTGCTGTCATTGTTCTGAACGTTCATGCCCCAACAGAGGATAAGATTGATGGCACGATGCACAGCTTCTACGAGGAACTAGAACATACTCGTATATTCAGTCAGTTCCCGAAGTACCATCTGAAAATTTTGTTAGCAGGTTTCAATGCGAAAGTAAGTAGCTAAGACATTTTCAAACCAACAGTTGGAAATGAGAGTTTACATGAAATTAGTAACGATAATGGAGTTAGAGTAGTAAATTTTTCACATCAAAAAATCTGACGGTCACTAGCACAATGTACCCATATCGTAACATACTGTAACGTGTTTACGGNACATAACCGCTCGAACACTCATTCGATGCTCTATACGAGCAGTCGAGATACAGCACCAGAAAGTATCCTTTTTCCTCCACCTTCATAGTTGTTTTACCTTGATTATGAAGAGTTGATACATATTTACCACACTACACGGCGTCACACCTATAAAGACCGTGTTTTTATTATATACTATCGTCAGAACCTCATATGTCGTTTAATTTTTGTATATCCTTCATTTTAAATTTTTATTTAGCCTCTAACAGAAATAAGTACCAGGAATCTTACTGGGGGTAAAGGGTGGCCGGCGCGTAAGGCTGACAACCTTACACCATCTCTGAGCCGACTCTAGAAAATATTAGAGCCTCGACGTCGCACAACCCAATGGGCCTCCATGGCCTGTTACAGGGATAGATTTACCTTACCTAACCCCATTGTATGAGTATTTTAATTATCATAATGTATTATAATTTAAGTAACTTTAATATCTGTCACTTTTATATTTTATTTTATGGTATAGACTGATCTGCGATGAGTACATAGAAGTGTAAATTTATATTTATATTTTTATCTAACACAATGACAGATAAAGCGGCAAGTTAATGACGGAGACATATTCTAGAGTGTACTGGACTTCGCGCAGTCTCCGTGTTTTGTTTTACATTCGACAAGAAAATTATCTTAAAACTCGTCTTCTTAGTTCATAGTGGTTCTTTCTCCAAACTTAATTATTTTGAGGTTACAAATACGTGTAGTTCCGTACGCATTAGGGGTTGTATATCTGTGACTGAAATGAGTAAATTCCTAATAGATATTAGAGAAAAACCATCCATTTTCTTCTGTCTCATATATTCAATTATTCACGTTTCAGACAGTCTGTTCCTATGTGTTCTGTTCCACAAAGTACGGAGCTAAAACCGTTAAGAACTAAGGAGATTAACGCTTCGTACTTTTTACCATAATGGCAGTCAGTGATAATTTGGTGTATTCACAAAACAGGGAGGAACACAAACTAAGGTTGTTTGAGAACAGGGTGCTGAGGAGAATATTTGGATCGAAGAGAGACGAAGTGACAGAACGTTCGAGAAAACTGCACAGTGACGAGTTTCATAACTTGTACACTTCTCCAAGTATAATTATAATGATCGAGTCAAGGAGGTTGAGGTGGGCAGGTCATATAGCAGGAATGGGGAAGAATAATGCATATAGGATATTGGTGGGAAAGCTAGAAGGAAAGACACCACTGGCAAGTCCAAGACGGAAGTGGGTGGACAATATTAAAATGGATCTTAGAGAGATAGAATGGGATGGTATGGATTGGATTGATCTAACTGAGGATAGGGACCAGTGGAGGGCTCTTGTGAACACGGTAATGAACTTTCGAGATCCATAAAATGCATGGCAGCTTCTCGATAAATGCTCAGCTCCATGAGTGAGTGAGTGATTCACAAAATAGACCGACAGAACAATTACTAGATACACATAAGCTCACCAGAATATGTAGGTTCCCACAACAGTGGTTATGGAAATTTGTATCTACTGGGATATAACGCCTTTGAAATCCAGCCGACGTTTCGGATGAAGTTGCCTTGACCGTGAAAGTGAAGGCGACATGTATCTCGCAAACGTCAGTTTACTTTCAGCGGACTACACAGTTATTTCTCGGAAGGTAGGAGAACTCTTCTCATCTTAAAGGCAGACAAGAAGA